GGAATGTTTAACACTGGCATGGCTATAAACCATACACATTCCAGTGTTGGGCTTCGCTGGTTACCGATTCCAAATGGCCCTACTCATGTGCTTCAAATACCTTTGCCAAAGTAGGGAGACTACTTAGTGGGGGGAGTGGAAAGTGCCATCAAGTCACAGCCAACTTATGATGACCCCCTACGGTTTTCAAGGCAAGAGATGAACAGAGGCATTTTGCCATGGTCTGACTCTGTGTGTAGCGACTCTGGACTTCCTTGGTGGTCTCCCATCCAAACACTGAACAAGGGCTGACCCTGCTTCGCTTCTGAGATCTGATGAGATTGGGCTAGCCATGGCCATCCAGGTCATGGTGCCTGCTTAGCATCGACAAGCAAAGTTTTCAAGCTGGGACATTTTGGACCATTTTATGAACAAAAGTCCAGCATCCCAACAGCTAAGAGCAAAACTGCATGTGATGTTGGGAGTCCATGATCTGGTCCCCAGTGTGAATTTGTGTGATAGGAATCTGATTCTGGGAAAGGAGGTGGGTTGTGTCCTCCACCTCTTCCTGCAACATTCCCCCAACTGAAAATGCCTATTTTTTTTTTAGCCCAGGAAAGAAGACAAATAACTACAGCTTCCTGTGTTTTGGCCTCCTGGGACTAAAACCAGTCCAGGAGGAATTTTTGGACTGCGAAAGCAGCATGGGTAATAAGGTTGCCAATTTACTGGTGAGGTCTGGCGGTCTCCTGGAATTAAAACTGATCTCCAGCAAACAGAGATTAGGCCCCCTGGAGAAAATGGTGGACTCTATGGCATTATATCCCACTGGTGTCCCTCCCCTCCCCCTCCAGGATCTATCCCCAAAATCTCCAGGTATTTCTCAGTCCAGATTTGGCAACCCCATTGGGGAAGCGGAGTTAAACCACCTCTCAGCAGGGCCAGGGGCCAGGGCTTTGATCCTTATCACTCCCCTCCATAACTTTGGCTGGTGTTCACAGCTAACAGTGTCATCCTAAGCATTCTAAGTAGGGTTGCCAAGTGAATCTTCACCCTAACCCAGCCGGCTTCGTGCGCATGTGCCGCATGAACATCACCCGGAAGACACGGGAGGATGCCAGGCACGCTGGGGGCGGGGCCACGGCGTGCCCGCATCACTTCCGGGTGATGCACACGCTGGGGCAGAGTTTCTCCCGGGGCCCGATTCCGCGGCAGCGCAAATCGGGCCTCCGAAGCGGGGGTTTACCCGCCCACCGCCCCCACTTGGCAGCCCTAATTCTAAGTTTGCCGAAGTCCAGCATGTAACTCTACATAGACTGTAAATGACATGTTGGGGATCCGATGGTGAACCTCAAAGCTAAGGAAAGTTCCACCCAAAAATGTATTGTATTGGTTGTAAGAAAGTGAAGTGAAAGGAAAACTCTCTGTTTTGACCACATGGAAATATCACCTACTTAATATCAAGTCAAATCTAACTACTACTTTTTAATTTTTTAAAATAAAAACAGCCGCCTAAATTCAGCTGCAATTTGAAGATAATATACACAATTGTAAAATAAAAGAACGAAGAATAACAAAGGTATATCTCCCTCTAGTGTGGAAGAACCTAACAATGCTATAGCTTTATATAGGTCAAATGTTTTTTTCTTGAGTTGATGATGTCACAAAGTCCAGGTTTGGTAAAACAAGAAAGGAAAAATTTACAAATGTTTTAAAAGAGTTTTTTTTTTGAACTTCCCTTTTCCTGTGGGATCTCCAGATCACCACCCTTCATTTTATCACCTTTGAAATAATAGGCGTGACTGACTAGTGTGTGAACTGAGCATAAGAGAAATATTTTTTTTTATTGCCATAGCAACAAAATATCTTGGTGGGGAAGAGAGCACTCGGCTAAACACATGTAAAGCAAAAAGGTTACACACACTTTGGGCCTCAAGCATCAGATCCTACCACTATGAAATATGAAAAAGTGATTGTTTTCTGCAGATAGGTCAATAAAAGAGAAATACTTGGGCTTCTGACATATTGCTCTGTTGCTCATTGCCATGGGCTCAAGAAGTGTCAAGTCAATTGGATGACTTACTACCAGGAAAAGAGCATACCTGGAGTTTTTTGTGTGTTAAAAACTAGGACTTCTGATTTTTTTTAAAAAAGTGCCATTTCATGTATGTGCTGGCAAGCTCCACCATCAGTGCCCTTTTCCATTTAAACAGAAAAGAAATATAAAAATGGGACCAAGGAATTATATCATTTGTATAGGGCAAAATCCTCCAATTATCCTTATAACTGAACTGCTGTGTAAAATGCCCGCTAAAATATATGTACAGGCGCCCCACTAAAATATATGTACACAAGTATCCTAGCATAAAAGTGCAATCCAGAATAGAGTTACATCCTCTGAAATCTTTCAAAGTCTTTGGGTTTCGAAGGGTATAACTGTTTAGGATTAAAATTTAAGTATACTAGGTTCCTGAGAAGTGTTCTACGAGATGGGTAGTTACTCTGTGGTTCATGGATGTAAATGAAAACAAATTGTATTACAAAGAAGAAGAGGAGGAGGATGAGATTGGATTTATACCCAACCCTTCACTCAGAGTCTCAAAGCGGTTTGCAAATTCCTTTCCCTTCCCCTCCACACAACAGACACCCTGTGAGGTAGGTGGGGCTGAGAGAGATCGTTCAAGAACTGCCATTTCAAGGACAGCTCTTGTCAGAACTATGGCTTGCCCAAAGTCATCCAACAGCTGCAAGTGGAGGAGTGGGGAATCAAACCTGGTTCTCCCATATTAGAGTCCGCACACTTAACCACTACACCAAACTGGCTCTTTTACTCTATTACTGCCATGGCTCACCACCATATTTTACCAGGTCATGTGGATATACTCGGTCCAAAACTGCATCTGGGATCTTATTGATCTCTTTAGTGGGTGGGGGCATTTTGATTTATGGAATGGGATACGATATTCCTGCCAAGCATTTATGAGACAAGCTTGCCACATTTCTTGCTTATAAAATATCCGCTAGTGGAATACTATTCTCTAGAATGAATAATTCAACAAAATGATTGACAATTTTCCTAGAAACAGAAGTTGGGCTTCAAATGCTTTATGAATGATATATCAGAAACTAAGAAACAACAAAGATTTGGGTGGCTATTACAAATTACTCAACCATTCCACTACATCCTGCAGTGCAACGATATATGAGGCTGCCTTATACCGAAGCAGACCATTGGTCCATCAGCATCAGTACCATCTACTCTAACTGGCAGCAGCTCCGGGAGTCCACGGTCCTACCGCCTGATCCTTTTAACTTGTGATGCCAAGGACTGAACCCAGGACCTTCTACATGAACCACAGCCCCTGCCCAGTCCTAAACAGAGTCACATCCTTCTAAATCCATTGAAATCAATGGTTTTAGAAGTCCCTACCTATCTAATTTTAGGATTGCACTGCTGGTGCCCTGCCCCTGCCTCCAGCCTCATACATTCACCCGAACCTTTGCTTGAGCCTTCACACATTCATAGACTCCATATGCAGGATTTTAAAGGTACACGTTGAAGTGATATAGCTTCCACATGTGTGACCCACTGGGTCACTGAGTCCAGCCCTCAGCTGTAAAATCTTTTATTCTTGGGATGTGCCCTTCTGGCCTCTCCTGACAAAGTTCCAAGGGAGAAGGTCCAAAATGGTCTTCACGGTTACATGGGAACATTTTTTGCCTAATGCTTAACCAGCTGCCATGCACGCGGGTGATTCTCTGTCTAGTGTTAAACAAAAAAAAAGATGATGGATAACTCATCCCAGTTCTTTGCCAACTTATCCTGCGGGTGCGGGTTGATTTTAGGCATGAATCTTGAGGAATTCACAGAGGCTTATCTGATGTAAATGTGCATAAGGATGGGTCCTCAGTTGTTTGCCTAAACTAAATCTAATCCTAGGCACATCTACTAACAGCTCTGCTCAGTAGGGTTCACTCGCAATTAAGTTGAGCACAGGACTGAATGCTTCATCTTTCCTTGTCGGATTTGCTTTCCTTCAGGCCAAGAACTCTTAGCCCCTTCCCCCACCCCACTCCATCCAGGTCTTGCTCCCCTACTAGAGTCTAAGGGACCGGGGAGAAAAGGCGGAAATGCTCTGGTGGACTGGGGAGCTGATTCTTTGAGTCACTTTGAGTTCGTTGATGGCTCCCACGTAGCGGCGATTGTCTTCATTTCCTCTCCGCTCTCTTTTGGGGCGGTGGGCTTCCTAGGAGGCGCGCATTGGCCGCGGTCTCCGACCCTCCCCCCCTCCCCTCTCTCGCCCGGCAGTCCCATCCATTCCCCCCTGTCAGCGATTGGCCCTCTCCCTCTTCCCTCCCCCCCGCCTCTCGGCTGGAGCGGGGGAGGGGGGATGAGGTCCAGGGCAGGCGCCCCCTCCCCTCTGGGCTCCAGGAGCCTTTCAGGGCGGTTTCCTTTAAGATCTCTGCGAGGAGTCTGAGGCGGGGGGAGGAGTTATGTAGATCGCAGGCTGAACCTTCTGGAGTGGAGGGGCGAGCGAGGCGAGGCATAAGCGCTGGCTGGGTAGGGGCGAGTAAAGCGGCCGGGCTGCCGAGGCCTTCGCGCGAGCAGCAGCAGCAGCAGCAGCAGCAGGGGGAGCAGAAGGAGGCGGCGAGCGTGGCGGCGGCGGCGGCGGCTGTGCAGGCGAGGCGCGGCGCTCTCGGAGGAGCTGCCGCGGGACTGGGGCGCCACATCCCTTCGCGGACGGGACCGGGGATGAGGAGGAGGACGAGCTGAGCCCGCTCCATGCTGCCGCCGCTGCTCCTCGCCCCCCCCCTCCCGCTGGAGGTGAACCTGCCTCGCCGCCTTTCCTGGCCGGCCCCGGGGACATTTGTGCGTGGGGGGTTGGCGGTATATATCTCTTTTCCCCCCTCGGGCTGGGTGTTCCGAAGGAGGGGGAAGAGAGGGGGGGGGAGGGCATTAAAAGGACGGAGCGGCCGGCGGAACCAGAGCTCTCCCTTCTCCAGTGGAAGCACAGTTCACTATGATCTTACTCGCCTTCAGCACTGCAAGCCGGGGGGAGTTCGTGCATCATTCCAGGGTGTTCCTCTTGCAAGCCTTGCTGTGGATTTTATGTGCTACTGGCTGCCGGGCGGAGCAGTACTTCAATGTAGAGGTAAGAGCCGGGGGGAGCGGGAAATGCCCAAACGTGGTTTCCGAGAGAGCGAGAAAGGAGGGCAGTCGCTTCGGCCAGCAGCCCGGACGCTTTCCTTCCTGCGGCCAGCCCCACATCCTCTCGGAGGTTTCCTGCCCCCGACGAGAACGCCTCCGAGCCTCGGGGTCCCCTTCTCCCGTGCAGCCGCGCTGCTGGCCGCCGGAGCTCCCCCATTGTGTCCCGACGCTGCCCTCTTCCAGGGATGGGTGGGAACGGGAAACCCGAAACGCGCCCGGCTTCCGAAGGGGACCGGTGGGCATCGGAGCCGGGCGGGCTGGACACTTCGCCTTGAAATTGACCTCCTCGTGTCGGTTTCTAGGGGCAGGGGTGTGAAAGAGGGAAGTGGCGCCCTTTGTCATTCACAAGCGCCGGAGGACTTTGCGACTATGGGCCGCGGCGGCAGAGGGCTTGAGCGGATGTCCCCCTCCGGCAACTCCAAACGGAAAAGTTAGAGGTGGAGAGCAACTTCCTGCAGTTAGTTAAAATGCCAGAAGGTGAGCAGCACCCCGGTAGCATCTGCTCCTGTTGCATTGTCCCAACCCAGTTAGAATCCCTCCTTTTAATAGGTATTGCCTGGTCCCAGCCCAATTTTTGGGGGGAAGCGTTTGATGCTTTCCTATTAGGTCAAGATTAGAGGAATTTCTGAGCTGCACTTACTTGGAAGTGGCTTCCTTTGCGGTCAGTGGCGTTTCTTCTGAGGAAAGGTACCTAGGCTCAAGACCTTAATCTCGTGGCAGGCTTCACTTTCTTCCCCCTCTGCTGTCAGTATTCCCCCCCACCCATTGTTGTGTGCCTGTTTATTTTGGGAGATGCAATTCCCCTCTTTCCCCACTCCTTTCCTCTTTTTGCAGATGCATCTCACTGTAACTTTCTCTCTTTTGGTCTAGTTGGTTCTCTTAAGTTCCCTGCTCTCCAGACAGTTACCTTTCATCTCCCTTGCCTGCCACTCTTTGAACTTCTGTACCAGGAGACCACACATCTACAACTCTCATTCTGGCATGAAACTCCACTTGTTTCCCCTTGACTTCAGTACAGTTTCTGTAGTTGGGCGCTTTTCTGACTCCAGCACACTTTTGAACCTGTCTTTTCTTCATGCCCATCTGTTCTTTCACATTGGCTCTTGTTCTTTTTGTGGTTTGTGTCCCTCCTTTCTTAGCCGGACAACAACCTTCCATTACCAAGTTATCTGAAGTCCCATTATTTATTTATTTTCAGCATTTGTTGTCCAGTTTTCTCAAGCAAACCCTAGTATGTATGTCTTTTCGAAGAGTTCTTCAGCTTTTCTTCATACAGTCTCACAGAGAAACCTTTCTTCCACCTCCTTAATGTGGTAACTCAGTTCTCTTTTTCACTGGTCCCCCCACCATAGATCATCTTGACTTCTTCATGCACCAAGTGCCCAAGTTTCTAGTACAGTTGCCCACAACGTGACAATAGACCTTTTTTGCGGTTGGAAACAGTATCTTCCTAAGCATTTGTATTGGGCCTAGCACACCTTGGCTCAACTCTGATTACGGCCCTTGGAGACCAGCAAAATGTGAATGGTCGGTCCACCAACCTTGTCTTTCTCATTTCTTCTCCTCCTCCCATCCTTTTCAATGTGATGTGAAGCAACACTGTGAAAAGGCCAGCTTGTCATTCCTTGCCTTGGTAGTGCTGCCATGTAAAGAACAAGACATTCAGCCCTGTAGAAGCATTTCTTCCTACCATTGCAAGTTGCTGTGCCAGCAGCCTACTCTGAAGGGAAGAGGCCAGTAGCAGATGGTGCTAGGGCATGAGGAGTGAAAAGGGAGTCTATTGGGAACTCTAGGAAGAGGCCAGGGGCGGCAAATGTGAAAAGAGCACCTTACACCGAACAGTGCAGTGCACCAGCAGGCTAAGTCAGTGGGGCAGAGCTGGAACTAGGGATCAAGATTCCTTCCTTCTTCCATACGATTTCCTTTTTAATGGCCAAGTATGTCTCTCTGTGGTGGTTCCAGAGCTTATTTTCAGTAGCGCAGGTGTGTTTGGATTCTAAGTCCATATGCTCCAGCTTTGTTCTGTCATGTTTATGGGCTTTGGCAAAATCTAAGGGAGAACAATCCAGGCCTAGCAAATGATTTCAGGTTCCTAGATGCCCGTGCTAAATGTGCAGCTGCCCAGAGACCACTTGGCTGGGCTTTTTCCAGTCCTGGAATAACCTCTCTGTTGCTGTGTTAGACACAGTGGCATGCCATCTTATCTTGCTCTGCCTTCTTGAAATCAGCATGGTCCCTGCTACTAGTCTGTAGGAAAATTAATTTCCATTTATCTTTGAGCAAGGCTGAGAGCTTTTCAAGTGCCGTTTGTTGTAAAAAATGGAATAGCCGTGGCCACAATGCAGAGAGAACGTGAGGCTATGGACTTGGCAGCGGGATAGTGACACTGTGCCATGCATTTCTCTGTGTCAGCATCAGACCCATAAAACACTTACACGGGACAATAAATCACGAAAGCCTCATCCATCCTTGAGCACAGCGAATTCTGTTCCAAGAGCAATTTAAATAAACACAGAAATGAGAGGGCAGTTATATGCCAGGGACCATGGAGTTGGATTTATGGCTGCTGAACACACATCATTGGTAGCTTCAAAAGCAGAATCTAATCTAGCTGTGGTCATTCTTTGATGTGAACATGAATGTTCTCTCTCTCTTGCCTCCTGACCATTTTGCACTGTTCTGAAAGCCCTAAAAACATACTTGTGATGCCTGTTGCATACTTTGTAAACATGCTTTTCTGGTGGATAGCTGTTGCTGTAAACTTGCATTCTTTTTTAAATCAATGACTTATGGCACCTGTGTCTGGAAATGTTGTGGTGTTGTGTTGTGGTTTCCACTGCATAATTTTAAATGTTCTAAGCCAGAAATTTCTGCAGAATATTTAGAGGTACGGTCTTCAAATATATAAGGAGATCAAATGTACAGTGTATATATGAACTTCTGTATATGTCACATAGACTCTTCATAAGTCTTGCTGTAGTTTGGATGTAAATTTACTTTCATAAGAGCACTTAAATGCCAGAAGTATTATTGTATAATTGTTGAAATCAGGTAAGGGAGCGCCTTTCTATAATGTGGATTCAGCCATAGCTTCTGATGTTCCATGTTGCATTGGTGTACTATTAATTTTATAAGAAGATTGTAGAGTGACCAGTGTGAAATGTGTTCAGGGTGAAATTTGTGGACATTTAGAATGTGGAAGTCTTAGCAATAATCTTATGATCTCTCTTAAAAGGCAGAGTACTGATTTGCATGGGAGTGCATCTGCCCATGAATACTGCCCTGTTTGTTTCAACAGCGGCAGCAGATCTACATGTGCAATTTGTTTATATATGCAAATATGCCTCAGAAGCTAATGGGTCACATGTAACAGTTTAATATGGTGATCACAGGGCATGCAGTTTTTGGTTTAGGGACATGGATTTGCTACTCTCAATCTGTGCTGTGAGCTGGTTGGCTGAATGGTTGGTTAACCCCATTGATAAGAGCTGCGTCTTCTCTGGATGCCTATGTACCTGGGTCTATTTTCCATTGTGTTTGGCTATAACTGGGGAGGGATGGCATTCTAATTTCATGGAGTCATTGACATTCTGTTGTAGTAGCTTTACTGTAGCAATGAGGAGTTGCTAGAAAATTTGTTGTAGTGTGTAGTTTTCATAAGCAAAGCTTACTTTGACAGATTGAAAACTGAAGAGGGAGGGCTGTGGTGGGCAAGCCAACTAGGTTTGGAGGGGCTGGTCCTACCTCAGCTGAATTCTTCAGGAGTTGTGTCATAGTCCATCAGTAACATCATTTCTAGGTTCAGAATAATAAGGATCATATCACAAGGGGCAGAGTTGTCTCACGTTTGTCTTCCATCTAGGTTTAGTAAGGGGGGGGGAGAGACTCCCTGTAGTGAATTCTATCTTTTCATCATATTTATATCTCCCTCTTACTCTGCGGAGCTCAAGGTGGCATGCATCACTTTTTTTTTGTTCACAGGCCTGTGAGTAAGCTAGATTGAGAGAGAATGTTGACCGCAAGTCACCCAATGAACTTCATGGCCCTGTGAGAAATTTAAATCCAGGTTTTCCAAGTCCAGCACTCAAACCATTAGACCACATCTGGCTCTCCTACTGTCTGTTGGCAGCTTTTATGCCCTCTTGGTGTAGAGTACAATGTGAAGGTAAAAGAACGAGCCAAGACACTTCCTCGCTGAGAGAGAGAAAACCAGGATGATTTCTCTTTCCATATCATCTTCTCTTTGAGCCTGGTTGGGGGAGTTGTGGCAGGGAAACAGAATCATGACACAGGTCTGGTGCTGTCTCTGAGTTGGCAGGCAGCCACAACAATTTTGGTGGCCTTTTCAGAAATATGAGTCTTTTTGTTAAGTTGTGTAGAATACAATCTTGATAATGAACAATGATGGTTATGAATGTCAGTGGTATCATCATAGATGGTATCATCATAGATCAGTGTTTCTTGATATTATTCAGTTTTGTAGATATTGTGATCCCAAAGACACTTCTTCATGAATAAATGAGTTTTAGAATCATCTATTACACTGATTCCCAAAGTGGGCAATACCACCCTCTGAGGGGAGCTGGAACGAATCCAGGAGGGTGGTAGGAGCCTTGGGTGCAAATTGTCACTACATCTTTTTGTCCACTTTTTGAAGGTAGATTTCCAGGGGTGCACTGAGTAATTTTTTAAAAAATGGGGTGGTAGGCCAAATAAGTTTGGGAACCTCTGATCTATTCAGTTAAAAAAGCAGATTGTTTTATTTCATAGCTCCACAGGTAAGTGCACAAAATGTACTTGTCTGCCTGCCCACGCTGATTATTTCTTATTCAGTGATCCAAAGAAAAGATTAACCAACTTCAGTGGAAATCTCCTTGCCTGGAGGCAGGTCTGGCTTTTCACAAGTGGCCAAGGCAGCTAGTTATTTTCAAACCTGTTATTTGG